AAATGGCTATATCTACTTTGTTTTTTGACAAAATGCTTTGAAATTTAAAACATTGTCATGCATTAGTATATCCTACAATATGATATAGAAATAAATCATGAAATCACGCGCATGCACGTGTGCTGCAATCTGATTGGCTTAAACTTGAAATGGCTATAACTCCCTTGTTTTTCAACCAAACAGGATGGGATTTAGAATATAGATAGATGTAAGGTACTCCTACTAGAAGGTATGGTCATCATGCACGTGCACGCGTGCATTTGGAACGAGTGAAATGAAAAATACACTTGAAAGAGTGACTTTTCATACTTTTGGACTGAATGCTTTAATATATTGTATATTAAAATGTGTAGATAGTGTAGACAAGATGATATGATCATAACGGACATGTATTCACATGCGCACGGGTGCAATGCTAAAATTTGAATATAATTGGTATCCTTCTGAGAAAACGTTGTTAAAGTCAAAATGCACAGAGTTTGTCTTATTTAATGAAGCTTACAGGGAATATGGCACCAAAAAGGAGTTGGGGAGCGTTTGGGGAACATCTGTAACGGTCCCCGTTACAATTAGCACTAGTTGTTCTTTACGTTATAAGATATTTCATTGCTACCAAATTCTATTTATCACCGCTGGTGGCAATTTTGTAAGAAGTACTATGAAAAACTTAGTTTGAAGATAACGAAAAGTAAGCGAGCTAAAAATCCATTGAAACAATACATTTTATAAGTGAAGCAAACACGGACCCGTAATAACATCAGTGTTGGGATCAGGGAAGTGGAGGAGTAAACAACCCTTGTCGACCGTCAGCTGTGTGCTCCTTGTCATGATTGAGCAAACTGAAAACCCAGTGGAAAACGCAATATTTAAATAGCTTTATGATCTAACGATTTGTATAAAGTCTTCATTCAATAATGCTGATTGTGTATGCTGAAAAAAATCATTGAATCGACCATAGAATTTGCAAAATGTTGACTGTAAACAATACTTGATTTCTTTGTTTCATCGCCTTGTTTGCCAATAACTTAATTGACTTGTTTTAGAAATTGTCCTCGCGTAAAGGATATATTGCTACACAAATATTAGGGGAGCTGACGTTAGAAAAATTGAAGTTAATTATTCTATAAACTTCAGCTGATGATACACTGTGTGATTTCTGTGCATCATTAAAATAACATATGAGAAAATTAACCTTTACTTGTTTTTTTTATCATAAATTGTGAGGAATGAAATGTATGGGGATAACGAACAGTATTCTCGCTCAAAAGTCCATAAAACAATACAAAATAGGAGCAGAGCAAACACGGACCTCCAAAACATCAGATGTGGGATCAAGTGCCATGGAGGAGTGAGCATCCCCTGCCGACCGATCACACCCGCTTTGAGCTCCTGGTCATGATCGCGAAATAACGGGCAAATCGGACGCCAATTGAGTTTGAAAATAATATACTAACAATCAATATGAAAAAGGTCAGTCAGCATTTGGCTCAATGAATGATAAGTTGTATTTGCTGACAAGGTCATTGTATCGATCAAAGAACTTACGAAATGATGATTTTGTATAAGGTTTCATCAAAGATCAACATGTCCAAAAAAATATTTTTAAAATAGCTCCAGATCTATGTGGTTGATAAAGTTTAAAAATTTTACAGTTTATAAATATATCAATGAATAAATGATAGAAAGTACATTGTACCATGCACTTGATAATAAATACTGGATGAAAATATTTATCGAGAAAAACTCTTTTTAAAAAAAGTGCTTGTATTTTTAAAAATACACGTAATTAATTCCGTACTTTCAGTGAAAGCCATCATTGCAGAAACAATATAAGTATATGTTTATCAATGAAGGGCAAGTTGAACTTCGATGGCCTCTGAAAAGTTATTTTCCTGTTTATTTTGTCCAAATATTAAGATTTTATATCGAAAGTACATTGCATATGGTGGATTTTATAGGGTCTTGTCTTTCGTCATGTCATGCTTTCAATAACAGCCTTTCAGAGACCATTCACGTCCAACTTGCCATTCTTTGATAAACATATGCAATGGCGGTTTTACTAAAAATACAGAATTAAGCAGGTGCATTTTTTTAAACATGCAATTTTTTTTTCTCGAAAAATATATTTTTTTAAATATTTGTTTTCAAGTGATACTTTCATCTGTTAAACAATGATATATCTATAAACTGTAAAAGTTCTAACTTTATACCACACATTGTTTTGGGGCTATTGTAAAAATAAATTTTTGGACATGTTGACCTTTGATGAAACCTTAAATGAGACTGATGATATTTTTGTTCCATCAACTTGTTTGTCAATAATTTACCTCATTTAAGAAATTGTACATACGTAGAGCATGCTCTTGCGTACATCGAATCAACTCCGTATGTCGGCGATGAAGGTATATTGCTGCATTATTAAGGGAAGTTGACGATTGAAAAATAAGACATCACGTTTATCATAGAGCATCGTTGTTAGATTACCATTAACGTCTTTCTCAAGTAAAATATTCAAATATGAAACAGATGTGTCAGACGCTGTTTTATTTTTTATCTCAAGCTCACCGGAATATATATTATATCGACATAAGAATGGAAATAACCATTGTTAATTGACAATATACGAGGGCTGTTCAATAAATAATGTCCTCGGTGCTCGGAAAGAAGCAAAAGACGCTTTTCAATGTTTTAGTCTTTATGATTTGACTTATTAATCTCTTTTAATTAAAACACAAGTCCGTAACATTTTTAATCCAATTTCTGATTGTTTTTAGAACTCATTTTTGGGTATGACCCTTAGTATACTGGAAAATGGCAGATCCAATGATTTCCCGGACTTGTTTCTTCCTTCTGAAAGGTGTTTTTTCAAGTTTGGAAATAGAAACAAGTCAGAAGGTCGAAGATCTGGCGAATATTGTTAATGTGAAAAAACATTAACTTTCTGTTTATCCCGAAAACCCCTTTACTCTTCAGGGCGTGCGGGTTTGGACGCTGTCATGAAGAAATTTATTGTAGTGAATTCCTGATTCTGGGTCCTTACTTTAATAATCCATTCGATTATTTGCAAAAAATTTGCTTTCTAGACTCCTCCTCAAATTGAACTGCCTTCCTGAATACGAATTTTAACAACAATACACTAATATTTAAGAAAATTGCATATAAATCTGTCTGTGCTCTTGCAATTCTTTGCTCTTGTCAGACCTTCGCTGTTTTTATGGTAAATTTTGTTTTGAGTGTTTTAAGCAATAGATTCAACTTCCATTATCTGTGTGAATATCAAACAAACGTGGACAATTACTGATATTTTAAAATAATTGTTAAGACATTCGTACAAGCTGTCGTTTTCACTCATTTTTCAAAATATAGGGTGACCTTTGAGTAACAGCGTAAACTACTCCCGAAATGATGTCTATCAAATTTGCTATGTTTCTTAAAGTCAATCATACATCATCAAATATTATTTGTTGAAATTTTGCAAACAGTACATAAGTTGTTATACTTTTTTGTTGGCAAGGGCGGTATCCATTCTTGATGCCCATTATATAATTTTCTATCATTGAAATTCACCTGCTCATTTGTCTATAAAACAGGCATTGGTTGCTGTTAATGTCACATATTTCAGTGAATATTTCTTTGGGATTTTTAACAAGTTTTACAGCAGCTTTAATGATGCTTTTATTTTACTCTAGTTTACTGATTCTTTACCATTCATTTATAATGCAGTGTCTCGAACAGCCCTTGTTTTCCAGCTTATCACAATGAAACTATGTCATGAAAAGTGGTCACATAAACTGTTATAAATTCATGAAAGTTTCAATAATGAGAGAAAGTCAAGCTTAATCACCCAATTTTATGTTACCGCCCCCCAAATCTACCTGATTCAAGATCAATAATTTACCGCCTGTCAATCGTTAAAAAAACAATAGCTTCTGATTTGATTGACAGGCAAGCTACCTGTGCTACCTGATAGTCTGAGTTTGTGTCTTTTGAAAACGATTGCTTGGTCACGCGTCAAACACTTTCATGTAGCCGCCTTGTATACACGGGGGTTAAAAAAAGAAACTTTGTAAATTTTATTTCAAAAACAATTGAGAGTAGATAATTAAAACATGGCTTGATAAAATATTTGCTTTCAATCTCAACGGGCTATGTTGTATTTTAGGCGATATGTCGTCCATGATATCTGCTGTAGAATTTAGACCAGTCCGTGCACATTTATAAACGCTATTTGCCGATTAAAATTGGAATATGATAAATAAGAAAAGATATTTAGCACAAACGGCATTGATAAATAATTCCTTTATCCCATGTTTTATCTATGTGTATATGTTACAATCTACACCATGTTCCGTTGTAAAGTTCTGAAATGTCAGAAACATGAGTTTCGAGATTGTAACTTTTAGTTCGAATTTCCCAATGTTTGTCAATACCCAATATTCGAAATTAAAAAGTGAATATATAAAGCCAAAGATCAATTCGTAAAAGTATAAAAGAAATCTTGCAAACAATAAAAATTTTTAAACAGACGAACACCCGGAAATGGTGAATATTTTCGACACTATTGTTCGGTCAGAACGTAGGCAGTATTCCTATCGCGGTACATTGTATATGTTCACACGACAGATAGACCTATGAATGGAATATTTTATTATTTTTTAAATTTTGATATTTACACAAGTTTGATGAAAAAAAGATATGTTTACTTTGTAGTTTTACTCTGTGTTCTTTTCTTTAATGTTACATTTTCTTAAAATATAAAAGCGATATTTCTATATAATTTTTTTTCTTCATTAGATATCACTGAAAGTATAAATAAATAAAAAAATTTATGGAAATATTTCAATTATTTCAAGTAGTTTCACTCAAATTTAGACACGAAACACGGAATGTTGACCCTGATCACCCAGACACAGACTTCCTGTGTAATGCTACGTGTATATAGATTTTTGACATCTTGAGTATTGGGGGTCTCAATTACACCTCTTTCAATGATAAAATAATTGATCTGATAATGAAACATTTTATATGTTTGAATCCGACGACAGTTACATGTACTTGCACAATATACACAACATAGGCAAAATATTTTATACATATACTGTATTAATTAATATCAACTTAGTAACTTCAGCAACAACATAGTAAAAAAGTACTAGCAGGAATCAGGGGGATAAATGGTTACAAGACAAATTATAAATATCCTGAAAGAACAAAGGTTTTACTATTGTGAATTTTATAAAAAAAGGCTAAATACCCCTTACATCTGTTATAATGGTATGAAATAAACTGTAAAGTTGTAAACCAATTAATTTATTAATTAAGATATAAATCTTTATCCATGACTTGTCACTTTGAAATCTATTCCAAGAGAATTACTATTGCAACAAGAAAAATTTCTACACAAATATCAATCAACAGATAAAAGTTGATGAAGTATATAAACAAGTATATAAAAGGTTGTGAAATTTGCGGATATTTTTCACATGGAAATAAAAGTTGGTTTACAGTACTGGGGGCATTATCTATAAAAAGTAACAGATTTCCTGAAGATAAGGATTTCTGTATCACATCAATACTGTATGTACCATGCATGTTCTCAGATCTATCTGCATAAAATTTTATGACAAAATGCTTCATTTAATAAAGACAGGTTAAGAACCTTTTACAAAAACAATGGAAATAATAAGTGGCACCAAAACAAACACAGGGTGAATCTGATGTTACATAATTTCCATGTCACACATTCACATCTGGATAATCAATTTCAATAAAACATTTATAGCACAGATCTGAGTACTGTAGGAGGGCGTGTCCTCTTTGTGTTCATTGTCAGGTGGTGTGCTTTGCTTGGGATTCTATAATTAGGCTTCCATCACTGTACATTTCTCCAATTAAAACCTGAAACAAATGAAACACTGTGTAAAGTGTTAGAGAATTTATTCCTATCTACTGTGAAAGCAGAATCTGAAATGTACGTAGGGGTATGTATTAAATTTCGTTTTTTCCTTTATTTCGTTGTTAACAATTATCAAAAAAATTAAATCCTCATTCCTATATGAAATTTTACATGACTGTTTAAAATTGAATAGGGTTACTTTCAAAAGAATCAAATTAAATGCCCACAAAAATATTTTGGGAAATTTTTTAAAATTATTTCCCAAAACTGCACAAATGTAAAATGTACTTTTTCAACCATATCTTAAAAGCAGTCTCTTTCATACATTTTGGGAAGAATTTTAATATATACATGTATATAAAACAGTTGGGAAAATGTTGTCAATCTAAGAACAAGAGGCCCATGGGCCACATCGCTCACCTGAGAATCTTTGACCAATCTGTTTTTTACCAGATTTCCCCCTTGTAATACATATTGTGACCCCACCCAATCCCATTGATCATAATTAAAACAATTTGAAATCTACACTACCCCAGGATGCTTCCACATAAGTTTCAGCTTTTCTGGCCCAGTGGTTCTTGAGAAGAAGATTTTCAAAGATTTTTCCTATATATTTCTATGTAAAACTTTGATTCCCCATTGTGGCCCCGCCCAACCCCAGGGGGTCATGATTTGAACAATTTAGAATCTACACCACCCCAGGGTGCTTCCACATAAGTTTCAGCTTTTCTGACCCAGTGGTTCTTGAGAAGAAGATTTTTAAAGATTTTTCCTATATATTTCTATGTAAAACTTTGATTCCCCATTGTGGCCCCGCCCAACCCCAGGGGGTCATGATTTGAACAATTTAATCTACACTACCCCAGGGTGTTTCCACATAAGTTTCAGCTTTTCTGACCCAGTTGTTCTTGAGAAGAAGATTTTCAAAGATATTTCCTATATATTTCTATGTAAAACTTTGATTCCCCATTGTGGCCCCGCCCTACCCCGGGGGGTCATGATTTGAACATTTTACAATCTACACTACCCCAGGGTGTTTCCACATAAGTTTCAGCTTTTCTGGCCCAGTGGTTCTTGAGAAGAAGATTTTTAAAGATTTTTCCTATATATTTCTATGTAATAATTTGATTCCCCATTGTGGCCCCGCCCTACCCCCGGGGGTCATGATTTGAACAATTTAGAATCTAAATTACCCCAGGATGCTTCCACATAAGTTTCAGCTTTTCTGGCCCAGTGGTTCTTGAGAAGAAGATTTTCAAAGATTTTTCCTATATATTTCTATGTAAAACTCCCCATTGTGGCCCCGCCCAACCCCAGGGGATCATGATTTGAACAATTTAGAATCTACACTATCCCAGGGTGCTTCCACATAAGTTTCAGCTTTATTGGCCCATTGGTTCTTGAGAAGAAGATTTTTTAATGACCCCACCCTATTTTTGTGTTTTCTTGATTATCTCCCCTTGTGAAGGGACTTGGCCCTTTATTTTACCAATTTAAATTCCCCTTCACCCAAGGATGCTTTGTACCAAGTTTGGTCAAAATTGGCCCAGTGGTTCTTGAGGAGAAGTCGAAAATGTGAAAAGTTTACAGACGGACGGACGGACGACGGAAAAAATGTGATCAGAAAAGCTCACTTGAGCCTTTGGCTCAGGTGAGCTAAAAACCTGTCGTCTTATGATGTCCAAGTTTTCCTCAGCAGATTTCAATAAAGAGGATATTTTCTTAGGATCATCTTCATTTTTGTGTTCTTTGAAGGCATCTCTTGTTCTTCTTACAGCATATTCCCTGAAATTAAAAGAAATATATCTTATATTATTATATTTCATTATAAATAGTCTACACAACGCGTTATCTGATTGGTTCTAGGTTATCACGTGATCGGGCCGTAAACTTCATATTTCACGGCCGTCGGCACGCTTTTCATTTATTCCACCTCTTCGGAACACCTAGTGTATTTTCCCGCAATATAGTTCTCGTTCGTTGAACGAAAACTCTCGAGAGTAGTAGACGTCACAATAGCCTCAACATTGCTGATAATGTGTTCACCAAAAGGTTTTTTAGTAACTTTACGTAAAAAATGAAAATGAAATTGAGAGCTGTGCCGAATTTGAAAGTTTATGTTTATTTCAAAGGTTTTGCTTGTTTCGGTATAATAAACAATTCATTGCATGAATGTTCGGGAAACATGAAGACTTATTCAACCAAGAAATATCATATTCCCTTCGGGCGAAGCCCTCGGGGAATATGATTTTTCTTGGCTGAATAAGTCTTCATATTTCCCTCTCTATCATGCAATAAATGTATAATATATACCCTGTAAAGAAACAAGATAGCAAAATGCCTTGAATGTTTCCAGAATATTTTGAGATCATCAATCTTTGACTAGCTTAAATCTCTTCAAGAGTTTAAGAAATTCACAAGTCCCCCCCCCCTAAACTTTTCACTATAAGGTTAAAGCTTTTTTTAAATTTAGGAGGCATATTGCTATTTATAATCATGCAAATACTTTGCATTAAAGATGCCTGAAAATAAAGAAAAAGTCTTTCAAGAATAAAATGTACTTGCAGTGTTCATTTTATCAAAGTTCAGAGCAAATAAAAACCACTGAGCTCAAACATATTCTTTATATAAAGCAGCTTATCTCAAAATTCAACTATAGAAAAATGTTTGATTTCAAAAATTCCTTTGCCCATAACCAACTTTTCCCACAATATCTATCTGCATGAAGTACAAAGAGCCAAATTCTCCTCTCCCCAAAATGGCTGTTTAAATAAGTGAAATTTTGGATGGTCTCAAAATCAGGCACTAGAGAGCTTTAGGACATATTTCTACCATGGTGACCATAACTCTGGCAGTACCTATCTCTAACAAAAATTGAATTAACAATGGTTATGGAGTACCTATCTCTAACAAAAATTGAATTCAATGTTATTGTTCTGTTGGAAACAGTAAACTATTAAATATGCATGCTTGGAACACATTGTTCAGCATTATTATGAGATGACTGTTTAAAAATACAAAAACTAAGTTCTTTATATTTATATATGTATTAATAAAGAAGACAAGTTCTGGTTAACATGATAATGGAATGGTAATTATTCAGCACAACGTGATGCAATCATATACTCATCTGCTTTCAACGCACACAAAGTGATGGACAGTGAGTTACTCAAATAATGGAAATACATATTTTGCTTAAAAGTGCTCAAACTCATCAATATATAAACTATCTCTGCTTTGGATCCTTTTTTTTAAGATCCCTAGCTAGTATAAATATTAATAGTCATTTACTTGCGAATTTTTGTCTTTATTTCATAAAAAGACAGAATTGTGAAAAATTGAAATGAAATAGCTGAATAAAGCTACCTGAGGTAGGTAAATAAAGCTACTATAGGTAATTCTACCTACGTGGCAAAATGTATACAGGTGTCTCATTATATCGCGGTACTTAATTCTTTTGCATAAAAAGTGTAATTTCTAATTTTTGTTTTAACTTACATCAAATGATAATTGTAATTCTAACTTTGGCCTAACTTTTTAGTGTCCAATTATTTTTCAAGCTTGCATCGTTTAATTTGTGGTCTATTTTTAAAACAGGAAGTCTTATTTACCTCCTAAATCGGAGGGTCTCATTGTATCGCGGTATGGAAATACATGGAAACTTGTAAATGATACAGACCTCAATTTTTATTTTTGAATTTACGATGTAACTTTACACGAAAAAGTGAACAATTGTATATACTAAAGACTTTTAAAAGATGAAGTTTATTATGATTTTTACGAGATTATAATTCTAATGGTCTAAATATAATTTAAAGGAGACATGAAATCAGAAAATTTCGTTTTATTTTTTTTCAAAAGGATGTTCCATATTTCTTAATCACCGAAAAAAAATAATCATTCAAACAACATTCATCATGTCTATCAACAAAAAGAAAATAGGCTATGTATCCACATTTTTGCGATATACCGCGATACAATGAAACCCGCGATATAACGAGAATTGAGTATACTTATTGTATTGGACCCGATAATGGATATCAATTATTAGATATTACCAGAAACATAAATTACATAACATTATTTGTGTCTTTGATATTACATGCCATGAGGAAATTCGAGTTATAATGATGTGATTTCTGAATCTGATTTCGAAACCAATATTTCGTCAATTTGGTGTAATCACAAACCTGTAGTTGTATGATTTAAACTTTTTACTTTCTCGCAATAAGTCTTTGTAGAGTTGAATGACTTTCCTCCTGTATGCCATGTTTTGAAACTTTGAACTTTGACCTTTCGGTTTCAAATTTTACGACAATCCGATTTATTTCTTCGCAGTGTTATAATTTATTAGAGAGACTAAAACAAAATAATCAATTTCATGCAGATCCTTTTTTCAATGTATCATCATATGCGTTTGTCCAGTTAAAGAACTATTACATGTTATTGTCGTTAAAAGTACTTTCCGACAAACATGGCTGCGCCCATGAAGCAGAGAAGAGAGAAGTGCACATTAAAGATTTGCAGGAATTCTTGTGTTTTAGATGACTAAATATCGTTATTGTAAGTTAAATCAACTTAGATAAGTTTGAATTTATTATTTCATGCTTGTTCAACTGTGTAAATATGTAACTCTGTTATATGGAGTAGATATGATCATGAGGAAATTCGAAACGTCATAATGTTGACCCTTCAACAAAATGTTAAATTCATCACAAAATTAGACATTCATGGTAATCTGGTAATACCTCAGTGGACATTTTAGTTGTGAATTCAATTTGACATTTGATTAATACTGACATCATTTTTTAATAGCAATGATGGCCATATGGAAGCAGATTCAACAATTTTCCAGTTTATCTGGATGTAATATTCATGTGAAAAAATTACGGTCAGCACAAACTTTGCAGAGTCTTCAATGTTTATTCAAAAGGACATTTTCAGTTAGGGAAAGCTGTGATGTGAAGACTTTAGATATTCTTGGCAGCACCTACGCCACTGATCAAACCACAAATGTTACTCCAAAAATATTGGAAAAGATTGGCAAGAACTTGCATTGCAAGCACAATCACCCCTTAAATTTGATAACCAGACGAATTGAAAATTACTTCAACAACAACTTTAGAAATAATTGGCGTGCTCCAATGTTTAGTAAGTTTGATCGCCTGAGTCCAGTCGTGACCTTGACTCAGAACTTTGACACTTTACTGGTACCCCCTGACCATCCCAGCCGGGCACTGTCCGAGAGTTACTACCTGAACTCTACTTACATGTTGAGAGCCCACACTTCAGCCCATCAGAGTGATCTGATAAAAACAGGACTGGATGCTTTTCTTGTTGTGGGCGATGTCTATCGTAGAGACACGGTGGATGCTAGCCATTATCCAGTTTTCCATCAGATGGAAGGAGTCAGACTTTTTTCGAAACAGGAAGTAAGTGTGATTTCATTAAAAAAAGATACCTTCTATAGAGATTGTGAGGGTGAGTCATGACTTTTAGCCAAGGTCATTTACCACGGTTCAAAGTCACTTAAAGAAAAAAATATTTTATTCCTAGCTGTATTCACCATACGTCACGAAATGTGAAACAATGGAAACTCCTTATTTGCATGAAGACTGGTCATGTTCACAGAATAAAATGATTTTGACTCTGATTTTGGGTTCCTTTGAGTAAGTTCAAGGTCACTGGTAGAAAAATTTAAGTGAAAAATTCTGATACATACCTGGTAGCTCTAGTGAAAAAATAGAAATCTTGAATAATAGAATAAAGGGTATGTCATGAACTTAACACATGGTCATTTGAGCAAGGTCTCTAGCAGATAATGTTTGAATCCCATACTTCACACAAAGATAACTGACTACTTATGACCAGAGGGTGTCAATTTTTTCAATGGCAAATTCAATGTCAATTTTAGAAAAAAAATTATATACTACAATGTATATAGACCAAGGGGGTACAATTTTGTCAGTTTTCTTGATAATTAGTTGTTGAAATTATATCAGTTTTCCAATAAAAAGTGAATACCAATTATATGTATTTTCTGATAAAAAATGAATACAAATTTTATATTGTATATTTACTTTTGATAATTCTTCAGCTCTTTAGTCATGTGGAAGACACATCAAAAGTGACATTTTTTGAGGAGGGTACAAGAAATCCCTCCAAACAAGAACGACACACTGTAGAGACCTCCTTCTGTTTAGAACAGGATCTCAAGGATACACTGAGGAATCTGGCTAATCATCTTTTTGGGGATGGTGTGTATTTTTATCAAGATTAGATAATTTAAGAATCACTAATGAAGGCAATCTGTATTTACAGTTGCTCAAGTAAGTTTAAATTTGTTTTGTAAAGATTTGACTAATTTTTCGAATATGTGTCACATTGTTCTCTGCTCATAGTAGGAGGTACACTGTAACTTTGATGAGTTTCTTTTGTTTTGTTTTTTCTTGGTTACAGATGTGGAGATGCAGTGGGTTGATGCTTACTTCCCCTTTACACACCCATCCTGGGAACTGGAGATAAAATACCAAGGGGAGTGGTTAGAAGTGCTGGGATGTGGACTTATAGAACAAGATATTCTAACGGCTGGTAGGCATACTAGTAGTTGATACTTCAGTATATCATATACACTAAACCTGCAAACCAATTTTAACTGGCATCCCTGTAATGTCATCAGAAATGAAATTCAGACAAAATTAAATTACAATCAAACCTCATTTTCTTAGACTTGATGGGTTCATGATATTAAGGTTAATACATTGAGAAAAAGGAATTTTGTCTTCCTAATTACCTCAACATATATTAATCAAGATTGCGATACATGTTTGAGACTTGAGAGGGTTTCTTTTTTATCAAGTCACTCCTGATTTTAGTCATTCTTGATTAAAATTTAAATGTATAATTTGCATGAAATTACATGGACTTATAAATTCATGCAGGATTAATTTTCTTGGCCGTGCCTCTCTTTACTCCGCTTTATCCCATTATATGATTATCGGTAAATGAAATCATAATATAAGCAACGTGCATATGCAGCCTATTTCTTATTAATCATAGCCTCCTACTACAATTATAATAATGCTACAAGAACCAGATCATTTCAGCTGAAATCTATGAATTGTTTTTTTTTCTATGTTACATTAGCTGGAGCGGATAGTAAAGTAGGCTGGGCCTTTGGCCTCGGGCTGGAGAGACTAGCGATGAGATTATATAGTATTTCAGACATTAGACTGTTCTGGAGTCAGGATGCTAGATTTTATAAACAGTTTGATGTTGATGACCCAGACACAAAAATTACTTTTAAGGTATGTGTTAAATCTTCAAAAAGTCTATTTCTTTGATTTTAGAGCATGGAGAATATATTTTTTTCACTGGATTTGTTTTAGATTATTTTAAGAATTCATTTTAGAAAGAAAGAAATTAAAATTCCATTCAATAGATATCAAATAAGTTCTTTTGAATTATCTCTCACTCAATCTTAAATTTAAGTACAAAACAAAATATTAACTTTTTACCTTGTGAAAAATAACTTGGGTCATCATGAATGGAAAAAGTATCATAATATACAGTGTAAGTATTTCATTTGTAACAATATAACTTTTTTATTTGAAAGGTATTATTTTTATGCATGTGTCATGTTTGAGTTACCAATTATTCTTAATCAAATATGTATTTCTAGCCCTTCAGTAAGCAATCACCATGTATTAATGATGTTTCATTTTGGGTGCCTGATGACTTTTCTGAGAACGATTTTTACGATATTGTGAGGAGTGTTGGCAGTGATCTTGTAGAAAGTGTAGAACTCTTTGACGATTTTGTTCATCCAAAAACAAAGCGGCGTAGTAAGGCCTATCATATTACGTACCGCCACATGGAGCGAAGTCTGACTCAGGAGGAAGTGAACGACATTCACGCGAACATCCTGGAGGAAGCTGTCACGCAACTGGGCATCCAGATCCGATAACGTTAACAAGATGTACGTGTAAACATATTGGACAAAGTATTAGCTGCAGTTTTGTAGCTCATATTGTTCTGAAAAATTTGGAAGGACAATAATTTTGATCTTTCATACCAGTGAGCTACAGACCTGCTGCCATCAAAGTACCTGCACATGTTCAAGGTTTTGGTTTTATGCACCCTTTTACATCGAGATCAATTACCGGTAGAAAGGTACAGCACAATGTTGAAATATTAAACCAGGAGGAAGGATTTTTTTTTTATTTTTTTTTTTACATTTTTGTTACATGTTCAGTGTGATGAAATTGTAATACATGTACTTATTTCCACCTCACCATGATTACACCAGTTCTGTATTAATAATTGCTTGTCTTTTTTAAATGGTGTACATGTATTTGAAATAATCATCTGAATCTGGAACTGTGATAATTCTGTAAATCACATTTACAACTTGATCATTAATAAATATCATTTTTAAGGAGAAGCCACTGCTTTGTTCTTATTTATATGATTCCATTTCCAAGGGAGAGCATATTCATATTTTCTAAGGGGTGTGGCTCTCATTTAATAATTAATATGGCCCCCTTCGAAGAGGGATGGCATATTGCTTTGCTGCTGCTGTCTTTCTGTTTGTCCGCCAAGTTTCTGTTTATTTCCTTTGCAGTGGTGGCACATACTGAAATGAAATTTGGTATACAGATTTTTTATAGGTCAATTTAAGTTCTGTTTTGGAAACTATCAAGCCTTTTTAGACACCTTGGACTTAGAAAAATTCCAATTTACTGTGAAATCGCAAATTTTCGTGGGGGTTTAATTTTCGTTGTTTTTGAGGTATGGATCTCAGACCCACAAATTTATGTCCATCAAAACATGTAAAATGTTACATACATAACTATTACCCAATTCTCCATCCATGAAATCAAATCCCCATGAACCAAGAGTTTTCCCTCAAACCACGAAAAAAAAAGTGATTTTACAGTATATGGAGGAGGGGGCATAAAAGTTTTCCAAACATCTCATTTGAAAATGATTCAGATATAACAAGAGATGTTTTAAAACACTTATATGCCCCCCCCCCCTCCCCAAAATAATTGGAATTTTTCTACGTCCAAGAGACATAACTCTGTCAAAATAGGCTTGATTGTACCAAAAAGAGAACTTGAGCTAGATATTTTAATGATAAATCGCTTACCAAATTTCATTTCAATATGTGCAACCTCTGCAAAGAAAATGAACGGAAACTGCAAATAATTGGAATTTTTCAAAGTCCAAGGGGCATAACTCTGTCTAAACTGGGCCGATCATACCCAAAACACAATCTGATCTAGATATTCCTATGATAAATCTGTATACCAATTTTCATTTCAATATGTCCAATCTCTGCAAAGAAAATGAATGGAAACCGATGATGGACCGACAGTCAGCGTCTTCGAAAGGGGGGGGCATAAAAATGTTTAAGCTTTATTTATTTTACTGAAATTGTTTTTATTATTACATTTTAACAGTGATATATTGTAATTTATTCATTTGTATGTGTGGTATTTAAACTCTTGATTTTCCTTCCCATATGGAGAGAGTTGTAAAAAAAATCTTCCTTGACCTGACATAAGATAGATAGTAGTAAATAAAACATTCTGACAGAGAATAAAGCTGCTTAAGTTAACCAAAATATGTTACTACATGTAATAAACATAGGTAATCAGAGATTACAGAGCTCACCTCAACGAATGTTGTCTTTACGTAAGGCAAAGTCACACAATTAACCAACAAATAGTGTACATTCCAAAAATGAAAATATTTAAGCAATTTTGATCTGATACTTTGAAATAGACCTATATAAAAAATTTAAACTAGTTATTCTTCATGAAAATGTAATCAATATCCAGCATCTGAAGCAAATTTGAGAATTTTCATCTCTTGATGAAAACTATCACCTGTTCACTCAACCGGAAAATGTAGGTCAGATGCAGCATCCGAAGCAAGCCCGGTAGAGTGTATCCTTAGATGTATCATCCATGCAAGTTTGGTCAACATAGGGCTTATAGTTACTTTCAAATGAAACATGCACCAAAAACTTTAACCTGTTCACTCAACCGGAAAATGTAGGTCAGATTCAGCATCCGAAGCAAGTCCAGTAGTATGCATCCTTAGATGTATCATACATGCAAATTTGGTCAACATAGGGCTTATAGTTACTTGCAAATGAAACATGCACCAAAAACTTTAACCTGTTCACTCAACCGGAAAATGTACGTCAGATTCAGGATCCGAAGCAAGCCCAGTAGTATGCATCCTTAGATGTATCATACATGCAAGTTTGGTCAACATAGGGCTCATAGTTACTTGCAAATGAAACATGCACCAAAAACTTTAACCTGTTCACTCAACCGGAAAATGTAGGTCAGATTCAGCATCCGAAGCAAGACCGGTATTATGCATCCTTAGATGTATCATCCATGCAAGTTTGGTCAACATAGGGCTTATAGTTACTTGCAAATGAAACATGCACCAAAAACTTTAACCTGTTCACTCAACCGGAAAATGTAGGTCAGATTCAGCATCCGAAGCAAGTCCAGTAGTATGCATCCTTAGATGTATCATACATGCAAGTTTGGTCAACATAGGCTTATAGTTACTTGCAAATGAAACATGCACCAAAAACTTTAACCTGTTCACTCAACCGGAAAATGTAGGTCAGATTCAGCATCCGAAGCAAGCCCAGTATCCTTAGATGTATCATACATGCAAGTTTGGTCAACATAGGGCTCATAGTTACTTGCAAATGAAACATGCACCAAAAACTTTAACCTGTTCACTCAACCGGAAAATGTAGGTCAGATTCAGCATCCGAAGCAAGACCGAAAGTATGCATCCTTAGATGTATCATCCATGCAAGTTTGGTCAACATAGGGCTTATAGTTACTTATAAAATGAAACCTGCATCAAAAACTTTAACCTGTTCACTCAACTGGAAAATGTAGGTCAGATTCAGCATCCGAAGCAAGCCTGGTTGTATCCATCCTTAGATGTATCCTCCATGCAAGTTTGGTCAACATAGGGATTATACTTTACTTGGAAATGAAACCTACACCAAAAACTGCACCAAAAATGTTAACCTGCTCCAAAAACATTAACCTGGTCATTCCTCTGCTGAAATTGCAGCATCTGAAAACTGGTACAATGAAACACACTAGAACCATCTTCAATGCATGTCTAATCAATATAGGACATAGAAGTACTTAAAAAGAAAACTGCTCCAAAAAACTTAACCTTAACCTGGGTCGCCGATGCCGACGCCGACGGTATTACATAAGCTCCCCCAACTTTGTTGAGGTGAGCTAAAAATCCATTTTTACAATGTTTTCACTTCACTTAGCTATGACATCTCAACTGCTCAACTATATGTAACGTCATGTAGCCTTTGACTGTATTACAAAAAGACAGAGGCAAAGGAAAAGTGTTGGTACAGCCAAGCTCAAAAGAACATCAAGAACTACTACAGGTTCCTTCCTTCTTTTATTAAAAAAAAAGTTAAATATACACAGAGTCTTCCCTCACGTAGTTTTACAGACTTCAGGCCCGTAGCCTTGAGGGTACTGTATGACGACATAAGGTGGACACTTAGGAACCTGGCAACAACATCCGGGCTGAGGTTCTTCCAGCGAACAAATAGATTTAGGAATGTTCCAGTGGTTTACACACCTACAAAATTGTCAAAAAGGACAAAAATATATTTTATTCCTAATTCCACAACTTTATGGTATTGTAAGGATCCAGGTAACTTGCATTTCATTGCATATATACATATATATAGAGAGAGAGAGATACCAAATTTTATTGAAAAATCATACCAATTAATAATTCTTTTTTAAGTTGCATTATTTATTTGCATTGTTTCATAAAAACAAAGATGCCAGTATGTGAAAAACAAATTTTCATTCGAAAACTTACAGGGAAATATACAGAGGGGTAAGGGTTTTATTCCCATCATATTATTTCAGAATAAATAGAAGTTTGTAAATGGTATTCAATAATTTAATTCATTAACTTTTAATTTTAATTAATAAGATTTTAATTGTAATTCATCATTAAAAAAAAATCAAAACTGACACAAAATGTCCTTGGGTATATGTCTTTGTTGGGTGTTTTGTGTGTGAATAGGTGAGGGTGTGCGTCTCTGTGTGTTGGGGGGGGGAGGGGTGAGTCTCAACAGGTAGGGGACCTACCTTGTTTCCCAGGGAAATTGCACATAAACCTTTTTAGTTTACTTACATTAGGAATACTTGCAGCAAATATCTTAAATTACTTTATCTTGAATCCCAAATATAACATATTTAAAAGGATAATTTATCCCATCACAAATTGTTATTTACTGAAGATTATCTGTTTATTTATCTCGCATCCATTCATGAGCATATGATTTCCATGTAGATAAATTACAAAGGCACTAGAACTTATCATAGTGCAGTGTTAAGCACTTTCTTAATAACAACTATAAATTGGTCTAATAAATTAAAGAAACAGCAAGTGCTGTAAAGCTATTAATACATTCTAAATTCAAAAATCCAATCATTACATATTTTCTTTGGCAAAATATACAGTAACAATCTTGAAACCAATTTATTTTTAATTTTATTTCACCTTAATAAATACATCTTCAAAAATAGTGAACAAGAGAAAATCTTGGACTGTTCATGTACAATTCATTATTCCTTTAACTATAGGAAAGATGGGTGCAATAAAAAGTTCTTTTCTATCAATAAAAAGTATCAAAAAATAGTCTTAATATTGAACAACACAAGATTAAGTTTCTGGGCCATATCCTGGTGGATACTGAATCACTACATAGCTCGGACAGTCTGGAGTTTTACAGCACTTTCCAGGAGCAGGATCACGCAGCGTACAAATACTAGGCAAGTTCCACATCACACACCTAAAAGCAGCCAAAATTGAATTGAAAAGCAAAAGCAAGCAAGCATAACCAGGCTACCCTGATTATCATTATAAAAGCTAGGCAGAAGCACCATAATGTAGAGTTTTACCAATTGTCTGAAGCAGATTATAATGTCAGCTATTAATGCAATATAATTCATGGCAATAAGCAGTGCAATTACAACACTTAATGATATATCCATCATTAAGTGGAATATTATTATTGGTGGTTGCTACACAGCTTGAATCCCTGAATAATGGCATGAAAATGTAATATAAATGTAAAAAGCAAATATTTGAAAAGCATGAAAAGCAAAAGCTGAATAGGAACAAAAGCTAGGTAAACTTTTTTCCCACTGGAAACTGACCATGAGATGTGAGTTTTCTGGAATTTGTCGTCCCGATATAAATGTTACTTACTTCTGTTTACAGCTGTAGGCGCCATTAGCCGAGCATTCACAAGTCAAGTCACAACCGTCATCCCATTTATCTCCCACATTGTAATCTTTTCCTTTATAGTTACAAGCTGAAAATAAAAAAAACACAAAATCT